TCTCTCTCTCTCTCTCTCTCTCTCTCTTTCTCTGTGTCAGTGGTGGGTTCCAAAAATTTTTGGAAGCTCTTCTGTAGGTGTGGCCTGCTTTCTGGGTCCACTGGTGGAACCTCTTCTAACCGGTTCGGTAGATTTGACGAACCGGTTCTACCGAATAGGTGCGAACTGGTAGAAACCCACCTCTGATCTTTTCTACATTGTGACGGTGACCAAAACTGATGCAATATTCCAAGTGTGGTTTTACCTTTGTGCACTCAATGTTGTGGTTTTTTTAATTTACCATTGGAACATGTCAATTCTAAATAATTTCAATGAATGTGTGCATTAGTGTCTTTTACTTAGCATTAAATGCTAATACGTAGATTATTTTATATCAGCAAACATGTAATTTAGTCATCCCATGGCATTATGGCACAAAACACTCCTCCCTTCATACACACATCCCTGTTCAACATGGAAGAAATGGCAGCCTAAACATGTGTATTTTGGGGGCTTCTGCACAGGTTATTCCTAATGAATTCTTGCAGGATTCAAACACATTGGTTGCCTTCTTTGTCTGTGTGTTTTCTAGCCAAGATCCACAGAATAATGCATGCAGGGCATAACTCAAAGTGTGACTAAAACTGAATTATTCATACCCCTTTGTAATCCTCCCAGGCTGTGCTCTGTAATCCTAGAAGCAAATGCCACTCAGAAGTAGGGTGAGAAGAAGGAAGTGACCCTTCTGGGCAGGATAAAAATATTGGATTTATCCTCTAGTGCTTATAGCAGTGCTTCTCAAGCTGAGCAGCTTTAAGACTTCAACTCCCAGAATTCCTCAGGTTGGCCATGGTATTGTCAGTAATCCAGAGTGTAACTATCATAGCACCCCATGATCAAAACTCAGTGTTTCTTAATCCCCACCCCAATCAGGCAGTTTTCCACAAAGAGAATAACTCATATTCTAACATTCCATTATGTAACATAGATAAGAGGCTTATCCTTGGGTGATTAAGCCATGTGGCCTGGTGCTGTTGTCCCTTTGCTTAGAGAAACTCAGAAACGACACATCTGGCTGATGTTTCTCCTTGCCAAACAGGCACCACCTTGGCCTTCAGAGACTGTACATCCCACAACGCTAAATCGTTTTTTGCATCACTAAACCATCCAGCACTTTCAAAGTATCCAACGTTGGGAGAAGGACAGAGCTGTGAAAAGGTAGATCGCTTAGTGATCCAAAGGCACATTTACAGAGTCAAACCACAGAGAGAATAGAATAGAATAACAGAGTTGGAAGGGACCTCGGAGGTCTTCTAGTCCAACCCGCTGCTTAGGAATGGAATAGAATGGAATTTTATTATTTATATGCCGCCCTTCTCCTGGAGGACTCAGGGCGGCGAACAATTCAAAATGGAAAAGGGGGAACATAAAAACGAAATACAAATAATAAAAATAAGCAACAGTCGCACAACCATACATGTCGAGAGGGGAGGGAACTCATCACCCCCAGGCCTGCCGGCAAAGCCAGGTTTTGACAGGCAGGAAACCCTACACCACTTCAGACAAATGGTTATCCAATCTCTTGTTAAATGATTGCAAAAGAATGCATCAGGAGATGGAAACCCAGAATTTAACATCTAGTATTGTTCGGTAGATAGGGAGAGATAGGCAAATGGGTAACATAGGTGTGTTTGTGTCAGTGGTGGGATTCAAATAATTTAACAACCGATTCTCTGCCCTAATGACCATCTGGGTAGGTGGGGCTCGGTGGTCATGTGACTGCCCTAATGACCATCTGGGTAGGTGGGGCTCGGTGGTCAT